AGTTCCTCTGTTGCTGGAGTTTGAACTTGGAATCTTCTGTAGTGAAGACAAATCATTACTTAGAGTTAATTGTTGAAATGTGCAACTCGAGTTACAAATTTGGTTCTTCTTGACACTCATTATTTAGTTCTCTTTTCCATCTAGTATTTAATGGTCTTTGGAGAAAAAAATAATAATAAAAGAGTGTTATATATATAAATATATATAAATATATATATTTTTGGTGCAAGATGAGACCTTCTGTTTTTGAAACAAGTCTGTAGCATAAAGGTTAAACTATTTTAAGACAAAATAAAATAAAATAGAGTGTATTATTTAAACAATATTATCTTGTGTGGGATTTTTTTCTACTTTCACTTAATGTGTTGATACTTTGCATGTCCATAAAATAAAGACTAAGCTCTGAAATTTGGTTCTATAGCTTCAGAATTCAGTCCTATTCCCTCCTTTAACAACTTCCTTGATAGATAGATAGATGTATGTTGTGTTGTTTTAGGTTTTTTTCCTGATCCCAAAGGCATCCTTTTACTTCAGATGCAGTCCAGTATGACTATTATGGATTATAGCATTGGTGGAAGTTGATTTACAGCAGTGGTCTCCAGCCTTTTTAAGTAGATACCTTTTGGCATTTAAAAGCAACCCAAGATCTATCGTGTGCTCAGCAGGTAAGTCTGTGGGGAGGGGAGGGTGGGGGGCAGATCAAGGCAGAGGGAGAAAAAATTGTTTGGGAGTGCACCTCCCCGGCAGGTAAGTCCAACCCAGCCAGGGCCCCACTCAACTTACCTCGGTCCTGCCTCTGCGGCACTGTCCCTCACCGTGGGGGCCTCAATCTAGCCCCCGCCCCTTCCCTCCCTCATGGACTGACCTGCTGGGCTGGGGCAGGTGTGTACTCAGCCCCCAACCCCAGCCTTGGATCGACTCCAAGAGGCTCCCAAGATCTACTGCAAAAGGCTCCAAGATCTGCTGGTGGATCGAGATCCACTGGTTGGTGACCACTGATTTACAGGCACTAGAGACAGGACCTAGGTAGATATGGGTATTAAAAATGCAGATTTCCACCTGGCCATGTGCCTTCTACCCAACTTCAAATTTATCTGCTGAGACTCCCTCTATAGATGAAAATACAGCTCAGTGTCTCTTGACACTCCAAGATACAAAGCTGATACTCCATGCCTTGCCCAGGACTATCCCCAGCTGTCTGAGAGCTCATCTTTTCTTCTGTGGCTGTAGCCGCCCATGACAACATCATGTTGGACTTGTGAAACTGCAGGAACTTTCCTGGGAATCAAATATGGCCTGTAGAACTTATTCAGGAGGAGATAAATATGTCTGGGACTCCTCGCCCCTTCAGAACTAAATGCAAAGTTCTCTTCTTCAAATTTCGTAGTTTCATAGTAGCTAGGGTCAGGAGGGACCTGAACAGATCATCTAGCCTGACCCCTGCCACAGGCAGAAATGAATGCTGGGTTCACACGACCCCAGACAGGTGATAATCTAACCTCTTTTTGAATTTACCCAAGGTAGGGGTGAGGACCACTTCCCTGGGAAGTTGGTTCCAGATTCTGGCCACCCTAACTGTAAAATATTGCCTTCTGATCTCTAACCTAAACCTATTCTCCATCAGCTTATTACCATTGTTCCTCGTCACCCCAGGTGGTGCTGGGGAGAAAAGGGCTCTGCCTATTTGCTGATGATTGCCCCTGATGAGTTTGTAGGCAGCCACCAGGTTCTCTCCCAGCCTCCTCTTGCCGAGGCTGAACAGGTTCAGGTCCCTCAGTCTCTCCTCGTAGGGCCTGTCCTGTTGCCCTCTCACCAAGCGGGTGGCCCTCCTGAACCCTCTCCAGGCTGGCCACATCCCTTTTGAAGTGCGGCGCCCAGTACTGGACACAGTACTCCAGCTGCGGCCTGACCAATGTCGCATAGAGGGGGAGTATCACTTCTCTGGACCAGCTTGAGATGCACCTTTGGATGCATGACGAAGTATGGCTGGCCTTGCTGGCTGTGGTCTGGCATTGGCAGCTCATGTTCATCTTGGAGTCAATAATGACTCCAAGACCCCTTTCTGCCTCTGCTTTCAAGAGGGGAACTCCCCAGCCTGTGTGCGCGCTGTGGATTCCTTCTGCCAAGGTGCAGCACCCTGCATTTGTCTACGGTGAATCCCACCCTATTCTCATCCGCCCACCTCTGTAGTCTGTTTAAATCTATTTGCAGCCCCTCTCTCTCCTTTCAAGTGTGTCCACCTCGCCCCACATCTTAGTGTCTTCAGCAAACTTGGACAGTGTGCTTTCCACCCCCTTGTCCAAGTCGCTGATGAAGATGTTAAACAGTGTGGGCCTGAGGACCGAGCCCTGGGGTACCCCACTGCTTACATCTCACCCGGTTGAGTACGATCCGTCCACCACTACTCTCTGGGTGCGCCCCATCAGCCAGTTTTTTACCCATTGAACTGTGTAAGCATCGATGCCACAGTCGCTTAATTTATTGATGAGGATGGGGTGAGAGAGTATCAAAGGCCTTTTTAAAGTCTAGAAAGACTACGTCCACAGCAACACCATCATCCAAGGATTTAGTTACCTGGTCATAAGAGGCAATCAGGTTGGTCTGGCAGGACCTGCCTTTGATGAACCCATGCTGATTGCCCCTGAGCACGATCTCCCCTGCAGGCCCCCCACAGATGTGCTCCTTGATGATTCTCTCCAAGATCTTCCCGAGCACCGAAGTGAGGCTTACGGGCCTATAGTTACTTGGGTCCTCCTTCCTCCCTTTTTTAAAAATGGGGACCACATTAGCTAGTTTCCAATCCCCCGGCACCTGGCCAGATGACCACGAATGCTCATACAGCCGGGCCAAGGGCTCCGCGATGACCCCTGCCAGCTCCCTCAACACCCTTGGGTGGAGGGCATCTGGACCTGCAGATTTAAAAATGTCCAGCCCTTCCAGAAGATCCCTAACTACCTCTGCGCTGACCCAAGGCCTGACAGAGATATCCCCAAGATTGTCCCTACTGCTGGTAGGAGGGATGTCCCGGTCCCTGTTCAAGAAAACAGAGGCAAAGAAACTGTTAAAAATTTTGGCTTTCTCATCTGGCATAGCCACAAGGTTACCATTTGAGTCTTGCCTGTGCCCTACATTGCCTGGTGCCCTCTTCTTGCTCCCAATGTACTTGAAAAAGGACTTTTTGTTGTCCTTAATCCTAGACGCTAGCCTGAGCGCCATCTCTGCCTTGGCCTTCCTAATAGCCCTCCTACACTCCCGGGCCAAGGAGGAGTACTCCTCCTTGGTGATAGCTCCTCCCTTCCACTGGTTGTACGCCCCGCTTTTAGTCCTCGGGCATTGCTGAATGCCCTTGCTGAGCCAAGGGGTTTCTGAGCACTCTTACCCCCCTTGTTTAACTGCCTGTACTTAGACCTGGCCACACCTATGAGGTTTTGGGAAGAAGACGACCTGCTTCTTTTACAAGCTAAATCATGCATTTTAAAGTTCTGTTTAGTATGGGCATCTATATTGGATGAGGAGGTTCCTGGGTAAAGTAGTGATATGGACTGGGCACATTAAATACCGGAAGGGCATTTTTGCATGTGTTCCTGGATGTGGCACTCAGCCCTTCAATTGGCAAGCCACTCTAATTAAAAGTGCCCACACATCATATGCATCTGTGTCACCACACGTCCCTGCACTGAAAAAATGGTGGCAGGGCACTTTGAACTAAAGCTCATGGGACGCGTTTTATTTCAACGTGCCCCGCTGCCATTTTGTCAGCGCAGAGACACGCGGCGACACTGACACGTGGTGTGTGAGGCTGCTAATTTCTGTGTTCCAGCAGACTCGTTTAATCGAGTCTTAATTCACTCCATTAATCGAGTCTGCTCCAATGCACTAGATTTTCAGCATGCCAGAGCAAGCTGCCCGCATGTGAGTAGGAGCCCACCGGTACCTTCATACCAATTCAGTTCTTAACCTTTCTGAGGCTTGCACCAAAACAGTGCAATGTCTGTGAACGTCCATTCTTCTAACCATTTCTCTCTCTGTGTATTTTTTTTTTTTTTTTAAATTTACTTTCTTCATTACCAGAAGATACCCAAAGTTTAGCCTTATGGCAAGGCATACAGCACTGGGCATACCACCTCCATGTTGAACTCTTGCCTTCTGTTTCAATTCATGTTGCCACTAGGTTTTACAGAAAACATGATTCCTGGGACAACGCAAAACATCAGTGAGAGCTAACAGGTCAGCTCCAATTTGGGGGGAGGGAGGTTCCTCCTAATAAAATCCTTTGGAGGCAGAATAATTTCTTAATTTCTGAAAACGTTTCATTTGCCCAGAAATGGAAGTTGGCAGTGCTTTGGTAAATGGATTGAAAAGTTGGTTTGTTTCACTGAAGCAACTGTAAATACTTCTGTCTCTCGTTGAAATGCTGTCTGTTCATTTTTCCCCAGTCTTATGGCCGCAGTCTATGAATGACGACTGCTATTGCTTTGTCTCCTAAAACGTCACTGAAGCATGGCTGCAATTTTCTTTTCATTTTTCCAAGT